GTGTGTGTGTGTGTGTGTGTGTGTGTATGTGTGTGTGTGTGCCAGTGTGGGGAGGTGATTAGGGATAGCACAGGGGGTTAGGGCAGTTAAAACTCTTCTATACGATGCTGTATTGGTTATCAATTCTCAAAACACACAATGAACCCTAAACTGTGGACCTCAGTTAATAACTGAGTATCAATATTCATTTATCAATTGTAACAAATGTACCACATTAAAGCAAGATGTTAATAGAGGAAGGGAAAGATGTGACTTTCAGGAATCTCTGTACTTTCCACTCAGTTTTCTGAAGATCCAAAAAAATGCTCCAGAAATGCCGAACACGAGCCCATTGAAGGAAAAGTAAAAATTAAATAATATGGTCATACAGAATCGCAGCAATCACTGCTAACGGGAAGGCATAGTTCCTTCCAGTCTTTGCTCGAATGTCTATGCCTTCATTTTTTTTTTAAATAGTTGAAGTCATTCTGCTAAACCCATTCTGAAGTTTTATGATCTGAAGGTTTTTTTCAGTTTGGGTTTTTAACTGTAGAGAAAACAGTCTGTATAAAATGTCAATGATGCCAAAAACGGATTCTAGAGGGGCCAGTTGCTATGGGAATTATTGAAAATAAATTTCAGTTCATACTATACCCTGCTAATGGACTGACCAGAAGGAAAGAGAAATATTTGGAGTAACTCAGAAGAGTGGCCAAGAAAACTCCTAATCAAGAAGGAAAATACATCAGTCTAGTCAAGTCTCGGGCCAGCAGCACTGTCCCACGACTCAGTTAGGATCTTTCAGAAACTGTATCAATGGAGGGGAGGGCACCCAGGAGTCAGGGACTGGGTGGACTATTTCTTTCCTTCAGTGACTGGCAGCCAAAGGCTGGTACATCTCCCTCAGTGTGAAGGATGTCTATGTAGGATGGGGGGAAAAATCAGGGAAAAAATCACTTTCCCTCCAGCAAAGATGCTCCAAACAGCAAGCTGCAACAAGCACACTGCAGGTGTTCCAGGGAGAACGCTGGGACCTTAGCACTGGAGTGCGTCCTCAGGACCCCTTCTGTATTAGGAGGCAGTCCTTAGTCATGAAGCAGTCAGGGATTCTGGATGTCAGGGGGTAAGAACATTTAGGGAATTCAGAAGACTCACCATTTCTTTTCTTTTTATGAGACAGAATCTCACTATGTACAGTCTCATTTGCTGGCCTGAACTCACTATGTAGACCAGCCTGGCCTCCATCTCAGAATTCCACCTGTCTCTGCTTCCTGAGTGCTTAGATTAAAGGTGTGCCCCACCACGCCCCGCTTAGAGTCCTAATTTCTAACATTTGATTTGTAACATTAAAGACCTAATAGGGCCAGATAAGTGTGCACCAACTGAATGCCCACCAGTCCACAATCAACAGCATTCTAAGAGTCAAGACTATTGGGAACACATTGCAGGGTGACCCCAAAGAGGAAAGGTAGAGTTGCAGTCACATAAAGACAGCATGCTGTATGAAAACAGGCCTATTCCCATGTCAGGAATGGCTCGGCTGTGGCATCACATCTGGTTTCAAATCCCAGCTCTGCCATATATTAGCACAAATTATAGCATCTTTCTCTGTAAAATGGGTATTATTGTCATCTCAAAAAGTTATGGTAAGGGTTAAATAAGGGAAGTCATGTGAGGTGCTCAGCATAGTACCCAGCACAGCAAATGCTCGAGCAGTGGGTATCACCCCAACAACAGGTTCCTGATTGGGCTGCAAGCTGTTTTAAAAATATCTGTTGGCCCCAGTTTTCCTCTCCCCATTCATCTTCCATCAGAAGCACTTGGTCTCTATCGCAACAGAGTCCCTGAAGTGCAGAGCATGGGCCTTTGGCTACAGCTTCCTGGGGACAGCTCTGCATAGGACAAGCATAGTTGCTGCCCTGATTCCAAAGCAAAGCAGATCAGAAAGTGGTCAAGTTAGAGATCTCCATGGAAAGACTTGTCACTCAGAGCCTCCGAGGTAAGCTTAGCACTGCCATGCTCACTCAAGGCTGAGGAAACCCTAGGCTAGATTAAACAGGGGTAGACTCACTGCAAAGATACAGCACCAAAGGGTGAAAAACTACACCTGGCTTCTTGTTGCTGTTTTCTTTTCTTTAAGTTTAGTTAGGGGACCTATGTTTCCATTTTGGAATATATTTTGGCATAGAAATCTGTAAATAATCAAACACAGTTTTGTGGCCATTTCTAAGAAATAACAATTTTTAATATTTGTTATAATTTGTATTATTTTTCAAGACGGTGTGCTGGATAGCTTTAGTGTCAACTTGACACACCTGGGTTGAGGGAGCCTCAGCTGGGGAATTACCTCTATTGGACTGGCCTGTGGCCATGTCTGAGGGGCATCTTCTTGATGAGTGATGTGGGAGGACCCAGCCCACTGTGGGTGGTGCCACCCCTGGGCAGGTGGGCCTGTGTTGCATAAGAAAGCAGGCTGAGCAGGGGCCAGGGGAGCAAGCCAGTAAGCAGCATTCCTCCATGGCCTGTGCTCCAGCTCCTGCCTCCAGGTTCCTGCCCTGAGTTCCTACCTTGGGCTCCCAGATGAACTGTGACCTGGGATATATGTAAGCTAAATAAACCCTTTCCTCCCCAAGTTGGTAGTGGTCAGAGTATTTTGTCATAGCAATGAAGAACAAACTAAGACACAGGGGCTTAGTATGTTGCCTGCCATCTTCCTGCCTTACCCTCCCAGATATTTGCTGATAGGTAACCCCATGCTTGGAAGCATGTATTATATTTACATCAAGCTCTTTAAAAAAAAAACCTGGCAGAAACATTAAAGTCTGTTGCTCTTCTCTACACCCATATTTATTTCTTGTCCAGTCTCCCAATCACTGTTACAAATTTGATCTTTTTAAAAACTTATTTATTTTTATTTTATGTATATGGGTGTTTTGTCTGCATGGATGTACATGCACCTGTACATGCAATGTCCATGGAGGCCAGAAGAGGGAGTTGGATCTCCTGGAACTGGTGTTATTAACAACTGGCAGCTGCCTTGTGGATGCTGGGAACCGAACCCACGTCCTCTGTAAGAACAGTCAGTGCTCTTAACCACTGAGCCATCTCTCCAGCCCATGAATTTGATTCTTTATCCATCCACTTGTGCTTTTGTTTGGTGGAAGTTGTGCTACCTAAATTTCCTGTGTATTTTTCTTTTCAACAGAAAGAAAAGAAAAAAGAATCATAGAAATGCTTGAAGTAAAAATGTGTGTGTGAAGAGGGGCTTCTGGTTCTAGCTGCACCCAGGCATAGCCACTCACCTGCTCAGGAACAGCCCATACTAACTGTAGGTACTGCCCATGAGAAGGGAGGGTATTTTGCAAATTCACACCTATAAACATCTACAAAGCAGAGAAGATATATGGGTCACAGGCCACAGACTGAACTCTGAAGGGCTTACCTGGGTCCAGGTGAGTGAAAGATCCCACCACAAAGTCTAGTGTTGACACAGCCAGCAGGAAGAGCAGCAGCAGTTGGAGGCGAATTATCCACTTGACACCTGCTAGGTTGATCCCCAGCAAAGCCAGAAGCACTGCAACTGAAATTCCTCTCACAGCCCAGATGTTCCCGAGGTCCAGCAGGTCTGAGATAGACTCGGCGAAGCCGGTGATGTACATGGCACCTGCAACACACTGCCAGGCATTTGCCATTGGTTAGAGCCAGCAACAGAGGAAGAAACAGGAGCAGACCTGCGTGCTCACCCTGAAGGTCACATGTACCAGCACTGCATAAGCCAGCTCCGGATGAAGCCTGACCTTCCCACAGGGAAACATGCCTCATCTACATCTTGAACGAGGTGGGAAGGAGTCCCAAGGCCCAAACTGAGAGCTGTCAGTGGTAACCAAGGCAAAAAGGTTATGGGTTGCTTTTTGATATCTCTGCATCATTTAAGATCCAAATCTCTACCTAGAACAAGAGCTCACAGGGCCCCATCCTCAGAGTCACAGAAGAGCATTGCCACAGATATTTTAATGCACTTTCATTGTAGATCAGTTTTTCAAAAAAAAAAATTATTGTGTGTGTTGTATGTATGATGTATGTCTACATTGTGTGGGTACATGTACACTTTGTGTGTGTGTGTGTGTGTGTGTGTGTGTGTGTGTGTGTGTGTATAACCTCAGTGTCATTCCTCAGGCACCATTTTTTTTAAAACAGGGTCTCTCAGTGGCCTAGGATTCACCACATAGGCTAGGCTCTCCAGCAAGTCCCAGGGATCCTCCTGTCTCTGCCTTTCCAGTACATGCCACTGCACCTGGCTTGCTTTTTTGCATGGGTTCTGGGGCTGGAACTCATGTCTTCATGCAGGTAAGGCAGGTACTTTACTAACTGTAGGTCAGGTCTTTTGCTTTGTTTTGTTTTCTTTTTATGAGACAGGGTCTTACACTATAGCATAGGCTGACCTTGAATTTACTATATAACCCAAATAGGCCTCAAATTTTCAGTAATCCTCCTGCCCCAGCCTCTGGAATTGCTGGGTTAAAGGCATGAACCACCACTCCTGGCACTATTGTTTTTTAAATTATCTAGATGCCAAGCATGGCCAGGGAGGCAGAAACAGGAGGATCACCACAAACTAAGTCCAGTCTGGGCTACATAGCTAATTCAAGGCTTACCAGGGCTATCTAACAAGACCCTGTCTCAAAAAAAACAGCAACAAAATTATCTAAAATTTGGAAATAGAATAAAATGGTGGCACAACTTTTCAATGCGGTATGTGACCAAGGTACCCCCAGCTATCTAAGTAAATGTATTGAGTCTGGTTCACTATTCACTGTTGATTAAATTGGCATTAAATATCCCAGACTTAGGGGCTAGAGAGATGGCTCAGCAGTTAAGGGCATGGGTTGATCTTCCAGAGAACCTGGGTTCAGGTCCCAGCACCCACATGGGATGACTAACAACCATCCCTAACTCCAGTTCCATGACTGACACCCTCTTCTAGCCTCTGCAGGCACTGCATGACATGGGTGCACTTACATACATGCAGGCAAAACACTCATAACATAAAATAAAAATAAATAAATAAAAATATCCCAAACTTCGTAAAGTTACATATTAAGCTGATTTTTTTTTTTGCCAATAGAGATGGAAATAACTTCTGTTTAATGAATAGCCCCAAGATTTAGAGTTTGTAGGCCTGTAAGACATTAACTTAGTTTGATATCTAGCCTAGCAAACTTATCCTTCCATTTACTTATCAAATTGCCTAACTGTGAATATGTTGATTTGATCTGTCTGCCTGGTATCCACACCTCATTTCTCAGTGCCCTTAAGATGTTACTGGCTCTTCCACTAATTCATATGATTACTTTGTATTTGCCTGAGAGTTATGATTATACATATTTTGGAAACATTTGACAGATATTTCAAAATAAGTAGTTAAAAGTGACATGAGGGGCTGGAGAGATGGCTCAGTGATTAAGAACACTGACTGTTCTTGCAGAAGACCCAGTTTTGAATTCCAGCACTAACAACTGTCCATAACCCCAGTTCCAGGGGATCAGACAGCCTCTTCTGTCCTCCGTGTTACACAACACAGGTGCACTTACCTACATGCAGGCAATACATGTATACACATAAAATAAAAATAATAAATAAAATATTTTTAAGTGACATGAGGATCCAAGTCCAACTGATTATGACTAGTAATAATCAGATACATACAGATTGGAGATGCATGCACCAACATCTCAGAGTTAGTAGCAAAAACAATGAGTCTTTCTGCAAGGAACAATATATTCTAAAATGAAATGGAGATCTTCTTTAAAGGTTAAAAAACTCATTCAGTTTTATGTCTTACAGGGCTTATACTGAGTTGAATATTGTATAAGTGTATTAATTCAACTGTGAGCCGAGAAATTTGCACCCACTTGTGAAAGAGATGTACTCTTGCTCTGGAGTGTGTTACTAAATATGTTAAAGCTGTAGTGAAATGCTTCTTCTAAGCATGAAGTTATTAAAAATTAAAAGATAATGATTAAAAAATAATAATCCTTCAAAGCATAAAAATTTGCTCCTTAATAATTAGTAGATGTGAAAAACATTACCATTGAAATCTACCTGATGACTTTATATCCATGCTCATGCAG